CTTTCAAGATCTTTAAAGGCAGAAAATGTCCTCAAATATTAACATGTGACTTCAAATATACTCGGATTTCTCCAAAAACTTATTTTTTTTTTTTACATGCAGTGAAATATCAAAAAGATCGAAAATGCGCACTTTTTGCATTGTTGTTAAATTTTGTCTTGCAGCGAATGCAAACGGAAAGGAAAAAAAATCTTGCTTAAACTAATAAATGAGAGCGCGATACTCTTTTTTATATGATTTCAGTAAAAAATAGACAAATTCTAATTTAACAGAATGTTATATGATATTTCAAAACTATTTAGTAATGAAATGGTTCATACCACATGGTTGATGAACATTGTTCTGCATCTCACATAAATTATCAATTTAGATTAAAAAAAAAAGAAGTATATATTTGTTGCTTATATAAATTAATATTTTCCATAATTGTAGGTGTCCTCATGTCGTAAAATTTTTAAAGGACGCTCCCCTGTTTTGTCCTCGAAGTATAACTTATGAATATAGTCACATTTTTATAATGAAGGTATGATTGTAGCTTTTCTTATTAATTATTTCTTCTCAAATCACCAAGTAAGCTACTTTTTGAAATTCAAAAAAAAAAAAAAAATTAATAACATTTAATACTCAAATTTTGTAAAGTTATATGTCATTTCAAATATTTTAGTTATTTGTACGTTCTAAAGCCCAGATAATTCTTTACGGTAAGTGGAACGTATAGTATAAAATTATTGCTGTGTATTAAGTGCAAGGCATTTAAAATGAAGCTTTCCTATTTCATTTTTATTTATTTATTTATTTTTTTGACTAAAGAGCTTTGGAAAGGGGCAGCTAATCAGATGTAAACAGATATTTTCAAATCAGATATCAAATATGAACTTGTTAAGAAAATCGAAATACCTACCTCGCCAAATGGAGCAATATGGAAATTTTTTAGTTGAGTTCCGTTAAAGAATTATATTTGGGATGGTAACCTCCCTTGCAAAAGAATTATAGTTGGAATGGTAACCCTACAAATCAATTTCTTATTTCAAATAACACGGTCGCACAGGTGCGTAAATGCATTACGAACATCCGTTTTGTCGGGGGTGGGTTATGGAATGCCACCCTTCTTAAAAAAATCCCCCACTTTTTTTTCTTCTTCTTGCATGGAAAAAATGTTTGCTTTGCACCAACATGAAGATCAAGGATTTTTTTGCTCAAATTTAAGAGAATACAATGGACTGAACACAGCATACAAAGGTGCGGCCCTTTAAATTTAAGAATCATCCTTTGTAGGGGACGTCCCACCAGACAAGAATAACAGCACAACAATTTCACAGCTGTTAAAGCTATCGAAAAACAGTGTAGTAAAGGAATAATAATAAAAGCATATTTTCACGGGTTCTTTGTTAGTGATACGTAAGCACTAAATTTATCTCTTTTATTGAATTTTTTTTAGGGGAGTTGGGATTAGGAATGAAATGTATGTTCCGTTGTTGAATCAGAACATGTTTAAGGAGTGCAGGGGGCGATGCAGAATTTTTAGCCTGGTGATCGAAAAATTATTCAGATTGTATTGAGTATTGGGGTGTAAAGGGTTTTAAAAGCAAAATTTTCGATTTATCTTTTAATGTAAAATAAGGCAGGTTATGGTCTGGTTTATTCTGTAAGAAACAGCCATTCAAAAAACTTTCGAAGTTACTGCAAAAATAATGAAACTCTATCACCGAAAACAGAAAATACATACTCATTTTCTAAACTGCAGACTCAAGTACTTTGTTTAAAGTTATTTATACAATGCAATTTTTTTCAGAACACATTTATACAATAAGTTTTTTTCAATAAAATTTTTTTTTCTAGCAAAAATTACTAGATTTCTATTAAATGTATTGTGTTAAGACTTGGTAACTGGTCTTAGGCCAAAGTGGATTCAATTGATTTGGATGATGCTAAAAAAATTATTTAAACCTAATTTCCGCAAAAACGAAAATATTTATGAAAACTGAGAACAAACAAGCGTTATACCCCTTGACGCAGTAGGGAAAACCTGTGTTCTTTTTTTTAAATATAGTTTTTTTTCTGACACTATTAAAAGACAAAATTGTATTTTAGTATTTTCCTATTAGTAAATCCATCTAATAGTTAGTTAAGGAATCTGTTAGATTATCGCAATTTTTTTTTGCATTAAAATATAAAATCGAAAAAAAAAAAGTAATTTGAATTTTTTTTTCTATTTAGATTCAAAAAATTATCAATAATAGATTTCGTAAAATTAAAGAAATTTCTATGACGAATAACTGTTTCTTTTTTATCTAAATAACTGCAAATAAGTGCAAATCTGAAAAATTATAGTTTGTAAGTGTTTGGAAGACTTAACCTTTAACACAAAAGAAAGACACCGGTGTTTCATGCTGTATTTCATAACTATAATCTATTAACGTTAAGTTCAATGTTTTTCATTTATTATGACCGAAATTAAAGCAAAATAAAGAGAAAAAGTTTGAAAAATGTGTTGAATAAAATTTCGGCGTCAAAGAGTTAATATTCCAAAAAATGTTGATTGCAAAATTGGTAATAATTTTTTCTGGGTGAAGAACCAAAACTAGCACACACACGCCTTACATTTCAAATTGTGATTGGATGATGACATTGTCTTTTATATGTTTTGAAAAATAGTTCTGAATAAAGTAAATATCTATCATCAGTTTATTCCTAAAAATTTAAAGCGCATTTAAAGCTGAGTTCGTTCAAAAACTTCTTGACAGGTTTTTTTATATATTTTTTTTACGAATATTATCAAGCGCTCAAAACGTTATAATGCTTTTTCTTTACTTTAGCTCTAAAGAAAATTAAAATATAAAATTTTTCAATATTGGATCAGTTTCCCAACTCATAACGCACTCCAAACTAAAAATAACCGATAGTAAACTAAAAAGTTTAAATTGGTTTTTATTTTAAGAGGCGATATTTTCCTTCTTTCTCCCTTTATTAAAAATAAAATATTTTGTGTAGGATTCAAATGTTTTGAAAATAAACTCTACGTTTTAATACAAAATATTTTCCAGTGCTACGCTGAAAGTAACTTTAGCTATTTTTTCATCAAAATAAAAATTTAAATGAAATATGCATTTAGAAATTTAGAATTTGCAAATTCAGCACATTCAGAAACAATCTGGTGGAAGACATTCACTATACTCAACACGATCTTTCGAAATTTGTAAAATCTAATGCCGTCACCAAATCAGAATTTTAGATGTCGATGGAGCGGAATTTCAAATCCTACATTCATTTTTTGTGATAAAATCATATTAACACAATTCCAAAATCAGTGTTTTTGAAAGGAAGTTCAGTATTATACATTTGAGTGTTTTTATACTTTTAATAAATATCTTTGTTTTTGCATAATATATGATACAAAATATCTTTAGAATACTCCAAATTGAATACAAAGGGGAACAATTTTCTGTTGCATGAGATTAATTAACAGGTCTTTGATACATTCGTATCGCACCACATTCAGTAGGAATGTTCCCTAAGTTTGTAAAAATCGAAATTTTTTTTTTTTTATTATTCTTTAAGATTTTAACATTTTTATTCTAATTAAATTTTGAGGAAGAAATATTTGGTAATTTGAGATACTGATACATGTAAAAATTATAAATTGAATCAAAATTGTAAATTGAATCAAAATTGTGAAATGAATCAAAATTGTGAATTGAATCAAAATTGTGAATTGAATCAAAATTGTGAATTGAATCAATCGTTTGAAGCGGATGCTTTAATAGCTCCGCTAAATACATTTGTATTTCAATTGAATAATGTCTGGTGATTTTAATCTTCACATTATCAGCCATAGTGGCTAAGGGGATATAGCGTTCGCCTCACAATGAGGAAAACCTGATTCGATTCCCAGCGATTGCAGGCCGATACGAATTCCGCACCCGGCTCACACCGACCACAGCGCTGACGTAAAACATCCTCAGTGGTAGTAGCTCAGTGATCATGAGTTAGAGTCCCCTTGCTGTCAGGCTTAACGTGGAAGGTGTTCCTCTCCAAGTAATGAAAAGCGGGCTAGTTCCATCAAAAAGTCCAGGAGTTCCATTGTCTTATGGATTGGGTTCAAAATAACAAGGTTACAGAATTGAACATTAGTAGTGGTAAAACCAAAATCGGGCATCTTTTCAACGACGGTTATAAAATGAAATAAAATCGTCACACAATTGGATGTGCTAATTATTCTACAAACAATGAACTTTGTGTAAAAATATTTCTAATAACTGAAAGGTTCTATCACAGGCCGGCCGAAGACTCCCCGTGTGGTAAATGGTGACTGATGCACGCTAAATTTGTCGAATCGCAACGTCTTCCATGTTCTCATAACAAATCAATACCTCTGGGAGTACTGATCCAGGAGTTTCCTTGCCTTCTGGATTGGTTTAAAATTACAAAGCTACGGAGTTGAACCTTAGTAGTCGTAAACCCAAAATTATTTCGGCTGTTCGATGACGGATATAAAAAATAATAACTAAAAGGAAACAATGCGATACCCTCTCGTTAAATCCTGGCTACAAGGGAGCATAATTTAGGTTTTCTTTTAATAATTTTTAGTATTAATTTTTGAATCACAATCAATCAATGTTATTGCAGATTATAAGAATCACGATATTAGAAAATAATTGAATGAACGTTAAAGGGAAAAATAGAATGGTCTCAAGCAGCCCATTCATTCTGTTTACGTTTAAGACGCGAAATGTAGTGGGATTATTTTGAGTACCGTATATTCCGGCGGCGGATAATAGAAGTTTTGCCGCATCATATATCACAATGCATCTTTTAAAAGCTGATTTCAGGTGTAACATGCAATGAAGTATTTTTGTATGCGTGTGGCCGAAAGATAATCATTCGTTTCTGTGACGCTATATCAATCTTAATAAAATATTTATTACTCTAAATTTTATTGCACTCTTTCATGTTTTGACACGCTTTTGTAGGTAGACTCAATACAATTTTTCATGTTATAGGCTTTGGGTGGTCTTTCTATCTAAAGTATTGGACATGCAAGACAGATGAATAAAAGAAAGCATACATGCAGTGGTCAGCAGATTAGTCTACTTCAAGAAAGTGATAAAGAAAAGGGTGAAGAAGAAAAGAGGTGGACAACGAGATTGTCATTAAGTAAGAAAGCGGTATGAGACTCAATAGAGTGGACAATGTGCACTGGACCTGCTATTCATATTCAGAGTGGAATTTTTATGACGCATTTCCTTTGCTTACTAAGTCAAATGCGTAGTCCTGTGGTGCAGTAAAAGCAAGTCAGATGAAACGAAGTTTTATGAGTAAGCAATATTTTTTTTGCGCTAATTAATATACTGCAAAAGGGTTTTTTAAAAAAGTTATTACACAATTTTTTAAGTCATTAAAATGCTTCCATTCCTGCATAGTCAACTATTTTTATTTGCCCATAAAAATAAAGCATTTATGAGGAGGTACAAGATTACCCATTCCCGGTAATCTAGTACGAAAGAAAAAAGAAATTAAATTTGGTGATTTTTCTTTATTTTTGCCATAGGAGTTAGTATACTCAAAAAAGGTGCAAAAAATTAGAAGAAATTGTTGATTTTTTCATTTGGTTATTTTCTTTCATAACTAACTTTTCTTTCCTTTTCTGCTTTCCTTCGTTTCGCGAGAGGAGTTAGCTTTTCTATTTCAAAAAAGATGCAAATATAAAATTTAAAAAAAAAAAAAAAATTTTATTTTTTATTTGGTTATTTATTTATTTTCATTTCTCTTTTTCATCATTTCGTCTAAATAGCTGAAGATAATTTTCTTTCCTTTTCTGCGTTATTTCATTTCTGCTGTAGAAATAGCATTAATATTTCGAAAAAGTTGCACAAGTAAGAAGAATTTTTTTTTAATTTGGTATTTTTTTTCTCATATCTCATTTTTTTTCTTCCTTTTTTGAAAGGTAATTAAGTAGAATTCAATCGTCTGTTATTAGGTTTTTTTGAGAAATATCTTTATTTTTGTGCAATTTACATTAAAATAATTTTTTAAAATTTTTTAGTATAATTCAAATTGATTTTCACCAGTTTAAGCTGTAATAAAATTAAATTTTAACATATATATCTAAAGAGTAGCAAATATATAATTTTAAAACGACATACTCAAAACTACAAATCGCATAATTTTATCATTTTAAAATTGTGAGAAAAAAACATAAAAGCTCTGAAAACAAACTAAGCGTTATATCTCCCAACTTACTAAAGTGACTCTTTTATTTTCCATCTTTCTTTAAAAGGTATTGTGCTGTCTAATAACACTAGATTATCAATTAGAAAAGAAATGTACTTAATGAAAAATGTACTCGTGTGTCACGTACAAAAAGGAAAAGAAATAATAAAAAAAACTCAAGGAAGCGAAAGTCAGAAGTTTAACTTAAAAGCTTAATTTTTTTCTATTATAAAAAGTAATTGTGCTGTCTAATAAAACTATATCATCAAAAATGTGCAAAATGCCAGAAAATACCAGGAAAACGAAAATCGAAAATTTAACCTTAAATCCAAGATGACAATCCCTTCAATCGCAAAGAGTACTTCCCTAGAATTATTTTTTGAAAAGCGTCATGGAATTGTTAGTCGATCATTATCGTGGAATTATTTGTTAATCACTTTTATAGAATTTTTTGTTGATAACCGTCATGGAATAATTAATTGATCACCGTAACCCAAAATTATTTGTTAATCCTTATAACAACGATTCATTTATTTTTTATGTAAATTAAATCAGGCACAAACTTCTTGAATCTCTGACTTCCAAGTCTTGATCTGAGGGATTTATAATTGCTTTTGTTCTATTATCGTATAATACACTCGCAATCCGGGAGATGAATGAATTTGAGAACACGAAACTGCCTCTTAAATGTAGTGTCTTTCAGTGATGGTAATTCTCATATCACAAAGCATAAGAGCCTAATTCATCAAAACGATTGAATGAAATTGTGTAATTGCAATGACATTATCCCGTATTCACGCGCTTCAATTACACAATGTTTGCTGGGCCGAAGACAAAAAGCTCAACAACTAGTTTAAGTAATTGTTTAAAAATTCGACCTTGACCAAACTAAAAAAGAGAGAGGAGGCTTCAAGAAAATGATTCTGCAGAAATCATAAACCATTTTCAACTTTGGCGAACAATGCCTGTTTAAGAAGCGCGATGAAAAGGATCACAAAAAAAGATCCGGCCGGGTCTTGATTGAAAATTAACACAGCATGAAGCCCTTCCTCGGACAGTGAGCTTTTAGATGAGCATGCACAATTCTTATGATGACAGATCGAATGAAAAAACCATGGAGCGTGAAATATTACTTTTTTAGTGGTTTTTTTCCTTCTCTCTTTAAGCTTTAATGCTCAGTGAAAATATGCTGCTGATGTTATAATATTCAATAATTTTTTTTTTCCTTCTTTAAAAAAGAGATGTTAGAAAATAATGGATTTAATTATATTCTCAGTCACCGTGCTTTTAAATCTGACTGCTATTATATTAGATGCAATTTTCATTTGAGAGAGTGTTTAACGCTGAAGGAAATGAAGCACAGAAAATGCGTAAAGTAAAACACATTTTTTTTCCTACCTGATATTTTTCATAAGTAAAAATTTGCAATAGTACAAATGAAATTTGACCAGCAATTATTTATTCAATTAATATTAATGGACGCATCAATAATGATTCTTGAAATCATGGTTGCAGCTCTGTTCTACAAGGTCATAACGCAAATTACAAACATAATTTTAACTAAGAATGATCTAATGTTTAGCTTAGATTATTAATTTCAAGGAAACGGCTCTTTGGTGAGAATTTTTCAAATAAAATGAGTGCATTAAATACAAAAGAGCTTTAAAATAAAATTCGTGTTTCAGAAAACGCCAAATAAAATTTAGCAAAAACTTAAGAATCTATCCTGTTTTGAAAACACGCAAAAATTTAGCAAAATATGCCATTAACTTCAAAGTAACAGCACTGTAATAATTTTTTTCTTAAAATTAAACAAAAAGATTAAAGTGTTAAGTTGCTTTGAAATAAATCAACGATCCAATGAATATATCAGATAAATGAAATAAAAATAGTGATTTGCTAGTCATCTTATATTTATTATATTAAAAAAATAATTATATATTATTAGTTATTATATTAAAAAACTAATTACATATAATTAGTTATTACCCAAGTCAAAATTTTTGATGGTTTCCATTGATGGACCGACATAATCTTGATGGTAACCATGAATAATTCCATCTCCTTAATGTAGGAATTCAGACGCATTTATGATTGTCCAACAAAAGAATAGCAACTTGCTTTGATGGTTTGTTCATGTTGAAGCATCGGAAATTCCCATTAAACCATAATATAAATGTATAGGTGGAACCATCATGGATAGTTGGTTCATGAGAGTCAAACTTCTTTTGATGGATAACCATCATATTAAAGTAGCATTTTCTATCATGGAATGATGGTTGTTTCTTTGCATATAAAAAACTATGAACACATAGTGGAAATGTTGGGTGATGGTGACCGTAAAGCGATACTGGACCATCATGAGTCACACTAAAACCATCATCATTTTTTGATGGAACCATCAAGAATTTTTAGACTTGAGTATATTAAAAAACTAACAAAGTGAAGAACTGTCCTTTGATAATAGGAAACAATTATCTTTGAAAAAGGAATTTTTAAAAGATAACTACATGAATTATCTTTTAAAAATAGTTCCGAATAACTATCTCCACGGAGTTCAAAAAAAATATACGTAATCATTTTGAAACATAATTTTAGCTAGAACTTGACTTCATTAATTTATCTAAATTGAATTTTTAATTTTCAAATTTAAATACATCGATTCAATTTTTTTGGTCCTGTTCTTGCTTAACTTCAGTTTAAATTTTTTAGAAATACTTTTCTTGAACTGAAAATAAATAAAAAATAAGTTTTCTATTAACTTACTGAAAGTTAATACTGAATGCAGTTTACGAAAAATTCAGTACGCAATGCATACTGGGTATTGTAATTAAAATAAATAAATGACAAATATCGGATTTGAGAGGAAATAATCATGCAGCTGTATCCAGTACTGGATAGAAGATTTTAAAATTTAAATTTACCAAAAATTAGAAATTTGATCCGAAGTTTACTATCCTGTAGTCAAACCTTTTGTTGATTATGTTTCGCTAAAGAAGTTTCTATTGAATTTTGACAAATATTTTTAGAATTTTAAGAAAGTTTTTCTGTATCATTAGAAAAGCGTAGACATGGCAGTATGTATACATAAATGTATGGTATAAATACATATAAATATTCAATGTTAATAATTTGACAACCATATTAGCTGCAAAATAACAAAATAAAAAGGAAAATAAATTTTTAAAAATGTATATAATGAATAAAATTGTATTAAAAAAATATGACATACATTAGGCATGTTTGTAAATTTATTTAAGTATTTAGTACTTTTTTATCATCACCATTGGGATGACAGTCCAGGGTAGGCCTTGGCTTTCTCTAGAAAATTTCTCTGAGCAGTTCTTCTTGTTACCAGAACTTTTCAGTAAAGTATCCTTATTATTTCAAAATCCGCATCATAGAGTCTAGTGATCGAAGTTTCATGTGTTCTTTAGCTAATCATAATTTTTAAATAAATCAGTATTTAATTATTAAAGTTTTAAATGTATTTAAAAAAATATGAAAGAAAAAAGAGAAAAAAAAGAAGATGATCTAAACGTTTATAACAGCCTTAAATTAAACCAAGTCTTATAATATTAAACAATTATTGAGAATAACAATTATTATGCATAACATAACAATTATTATTAATTAATTTATTAACAATTTAAAATGAATCTGAATTTTAAAATTACTTATTATAATTTTAAATACTGACTGATGCGCAAATAAAAAAATTATAAAAGAACAAAAAAGAAGATACTAAACCTGTATAACAACCTTTAAATTAAAGCATTTTAGCAATATATAACAATTATTGAGCACATAACTTCACAAGCTTAAATTACAAAACAATTGTAAGTTACTGGCGCACACAGAAATAAAGAAACAAATAAAAAACGATCTGCTTGAATCTGTTTTAAAAAAAGAAAGGGGGAAAAAAAGAGATAAAAAGAGAGATAGAAAAAGAAAGAAAATAAAACTAGAAGGTGGAAAATACTTGACAAAATTCCCCACCTCAGTTGACAATCTTATACTATGACCCGTGTCAAATGAATCTGTATAAATCCCAGACACTTTCACTGATTTACGGCCTTCATATATTTTTTCTAACCACTCTGTCGGATTTTTAGTGGTTTAACTAAATGCAGTCTTTGTCTTTTGGCCAACGGAGATCTCACATTGTAACAGAAAATGAAAAAGGGAAGAAAAAAATTGTTACTACCGTTTTCTGTTACATAAATCATGCTTTTTTTTGTTTCTATTGTCAAGATCGCTTTTATATATCGAGGAATGCTTTTTGTAACTTTATCGTTCGCATTGTCATTTTTTATTGAGTTGGATGCATTAGAGAACGTCTTTAAGATTTAAAGTTTATATCTTTTGTAACTCGTTGAGTTAATTTTTTTATTAGTTTGATTTTTTTTTAATTCATTTAGTGCAATATCTCTAAATTAAGTTAGCCATTTTTTTCTTCCTCCTCTTCACTTTTTTATGGGGACATATTTTTTTTTTTTTTTTTTTTTTTTTTTTTTTTTTTTTTTTTTTTTTTTTTTNTTTTTTTTTTTGTTTTTTTTTTTTGAAACTATCAAAAATTTCCGCTCCAGATTTCAGCATTTCAAACTTTCTCACAGTTTGACGCAAAACAATAAAACGTATTTGATAAAATGCGATATATATTACTTACGCGTTTAGTATAAAAGTTTTTCCTAAGTATTGATATAAAGACGTTTTTAGAAATATTTTGAAACAATTTATGAATCCAAATTAAATGTTGTTTTTTTTGAAGTTATAAATATTTAACTTTCTGACAACAAATTATTATTTATTTTAAAATTAAAACTGTTGAATTTAGGTCCACAGAATTTAGATTAGCGAATTTAGGTTCGTAGAAGTCAGGCTTCAAGTAAGTAATTATAAAAATTTAAATAGCAATCACATTCATAATGGTAATGGGTAAAGTGAAAAACTAAGACATTGATTTATAATGATAATTAAGTATAATTAACGTCATAAGTTCTTATTTTACGTTTACAGCGATAAATTAAGCATTTGATATAAATAATTGCTTATTCGCCTACTGCCTATTCGCTCCCTTTTTTTAAATATTGTTTTCTTTTTATCATTCATAAATTTCATTTGAAAATTAAAAAGAATAATAAGTAATTATAAAAATTTAAATAGCAATCACATTGATAATGGTAATGGGTAAAAGTGAAAAACTAAGACGTTGACTTATAATGATAAATAAGTATAATTAAAGTCATAAATTCTTATTTTCCGTTTCCAGCGAGAAATTAAACAATTGATATAAATAATTGCTCATTCGCCTATAGTCTATTCGCTACCTTTTTTTAATATTTTTTTTCCTTTTTATCATTTAGGAATTTTATTTGAAAAATAAAAAGAATAAGGAAATGAAATTTACGCAAAATTATTTCCACTGTTGAAAGTGTATTATTTTACATGTTTTTCTGTCTTCTAAAAATTTGTTGTATAGTTGCCCCGATTTTGGGTGTGGAGGTAAACTAAAAGCTTTTAAGGTGCATTTAATCAGATTTTTTATTAAAATTTTCATTTTTATAGTTTTATTTATTTATTTATTCATTTTTGTCTGTCTTTTCATTGACAGGTTATACTTTCATGCGCATTAGAATCAATTTAATGGCTGCATTTCAAAAAGCATTTCGTTCAAAAAACAAGCACATTTGTGGTAATATATTCTTCCTAATTCTTTGGAACAATTGTTATTTTGCAAATTTTATACAATTTTTTGCATGATAACTACACTTCTGTGCTTAAAAATGTAATAAGTTTACCTGAACTCTAAAAATTGTGGTAGCTACGCGCTAAAATTATTTTGCAGTGTAGATCATGCTGCCAATGCAGTTGATAATGTTATGTAATTCCAGTTCAATAAAAAAAAATTATCTTAAGGAAAAATGAAAAGTTTTTTACGTTTCTTAAAGTTTTTTGTCAGAGACTTTTAAAGTAAAGGAACAATTTTTTTAATGAATATAACAAGTTAAGCTAAAACATTTTCATAAATAATTTCCTCTAAATACTATGCCATAGCATAAAGAGAGGGAGAGAGAGACAGAAAGAACTGAAAATATACTGTTCATATAATTAGCAATTACTAAACACGGAATTAACTGATTAATCTTTCTATAATTGAAAAAGAAATAAAAGTAACATAATAAAAATTAATAGAATAAAAATTAATGAAATAAATTAAAAATAAACATTTCTTTAGATGAAAACGTTTCTTTTAATCAAAATTCAAGCATTATCAAAACATAATGAATTGTATTAATATTGTTAGGATACAATCATGCATGTATCGTAACTTTCTAAGAATGACAAAAAAATAGTTAAAATCCTTTTATTATTCAAAATTAAAACATTTAATAGTAAAAATTGATAATTCTGTCTTCCCATTCATTTGCTTCTTTTCTGTATATTAAATACATATTTTTTTAATTAAAAACAATAGCTCGAATCATGTAGGTTTAAGCTGATAAAATTACCCTGTTGTTAAAGAGTTTTCTGATGATCCAAAAATTTATTTTCATTCTATTTTTGCATTAAGTAAAAAATAAATCCAGTAAATTATTCCAGTAATTAATAAGTTCATTCTCTGTTATCATTCCGCAATTATTAGTAAGTTATATTAGAAGTTACTTTGTAATGAGTATACTGTCTCTAAGCTTATTTTCATTCAATCTTGAACGTAGTCTCTTAATGCTTAGTTAAAATCTTAAAAAATTAGTCCATTAATTGAAAAGTTACAAATCAGAAATATTATTATGTGACAAGACTCATTAGCTGTAAAAAGAAGGCATTTCGAGAATCGAGGGTGGCAGAGTATAGCTTGGTTAGTAGGGCGTGGGATACCTGTCCAAGAGGTCCTGAGTTCGATCCCCGCCGTCCGAAGACTCCCTGTGTAGTAAATGGTGACTGATGCACGTTAAATCTGTCGAGTCGCAAAGTCCTCCATGTTTCAATAACAAAACCTAACCTCTAGGGGTACTGAACTGGAAATTGATCGTTCTCTGGTTCAGGTCAAAATTACGAACTGTGGATGTATGAATGGGTCAACCCTATAAAACGGGCTGTGACTGAGGTCGTATTCCTGGCCATAGATGGCGTCACTGAATAACAAGAAACGCACCCTCTGCCATAAATTCGCTTGGTTTCACCAAGCAAACTTGCAGGTTGTAGCATAAGAAACAACGACAATAACAACAGAATCGATGGTAAGACATAGAATTTGGAAAAGGAGATTGAAAAAAGTTCATAAAACATAAGGAACAAACAATCTACTATTACAACATTCTACATCAAAATCTAATACAATGTGAAAAGATTTTTATAATTTTCAATAACAAGTACTATCTAAAATATGCTCTATTTATTCATTATTTCATTTTGGGTTCAGATAACTTTATTTCAAAAAAATATATTTTTTTTATGCCGACATCATTAGTTCATACATCATTAGTTAACTACTATTAATTATTTATTTTGTTTTGAGACATGCTTTATCAACGTGATAATGAGGGCAAAATTTCCCCCAGTTCCCCCTTCTACCTTGGATTCTAGATAGATTCCATATTTCTCCATCTTGGATTCTTGATAGATTTTTTAAACTTGTATTTTCTTGATATTTTTGAACTTACATTTTTTTTCTTGATATAGTATTATTAGACAGTCCAATATCTTAAAAAGAAAAAAAAAGTGGGAAAAAATGGTGTCGCTTTATCAGATTAGGAGGAATAGCTCTTGATAATTTTCAGAATTTCTATGAATTTTTCTTCAAAACTTTAGAGCAATAAAATAATGCGATTTGTGTGTTTTGAGTAAGTAATTTAAACCTACACGTTTCTCAGTTTTTTTTTCTTTCTATCTTATAAAATCTAATCTCATCGCAGTTTAAGCTGATGAAAAGCGATTTGGATGAGGCTAAAAATTTCTTTTAACGTTAATTGCACAAAAATAAAGATGCTTATTAAAAATCTAAAAATTAATGACCATTTGATTTTTAAATATCTTTCATAGACTTTTGATTGCAGAATTGTATTGGTTTAATGTTGTGAGGGAAAATTAATAGAGAATCTAAAATGCGACTGCGTCAAATTGTGATAGGATGATTGTCTTGTATTTTACATACATCGAGTGATACTACCATATAGATTAAACATCCAACATCTGTATAATTGTGAAAATTAAATAAAAGGAATTAAAAGCATATTTAGAATTTTCCCTCCCGTCTTCTCCCCTTCGATAGATAAGTTTGGTCGGGAGTGGAAGGGCCTCTCGAATAATATATGTTGGAACTGATGATATTTTTTTAAGCGGGACCAAGAATTTTTGTTTCTGTGCTGTTCAGTTTTCATTCAATTTACGTAATTTCTTGACACGTTAAGTTAAGTTAAATAAGTTGAAATGTTTAAAAAAAATATTCCATTAATTAAGACGTTTAAGTAATTAATTAAGGGAAAAATATAATTCTGCTATAGTAATTACTAGTTGTATAAGTATGCTGTCCGTAAGTTTTTTTTCATTCGATCTTGCACGTAGTCTCTTTATACTTACTTATTATGTTGTTGCTGTTGTCGTATGCCTGTTTAAGCAGTGGTGGTGTGATTGTTCCTGTTTTTCAGTGGCGCCATCTATGGCCAGGAATTCGACTTCTGCCACGCCATTCACACAACCACAACCCGTTTATAGGGCGGGTCACATTCTCACACATTCACACACAAAGGAGAAAGGACATAGAACACAGAGAGAGAGAAAGAAACATCCATGCCTTGTCCGGGATTCGAACCCAGGACCTTTCTGATGCAATGACAGTTCCCTGCCCCCTACACTGGCCGGTCGGCACTTATTATGTTGAATAAAATAATTTGTTAATTATGAAGTGAACACTAAGCTAAAAAATATTCCGTTAATTAAAAAGTTATACTAAGTTCAAAAATTAAAATTATCCCATTAATTAAGAAGTTATAAGATAAAGATATTATTCTGTAATAGTTGAAGTTTCCAGTTTATTAAGAATTCTTTCCGTAAGTTTATTTTTATTTTTATGTAAAATGTAGTTTTTCTAAACAAAGTTATGATGATAGGTACAATGTATAAGCTTAATGCGTTATTAATTTATTTTTATGACTGTTTATCGCTAAACACAACTTTCTTTCATATTTACTATTCAATAAATGCCGAAATCAAAGCAAAAAGGAATATATTTTTTTATGTTATGTTTTTTTATTTCCAACAATGCGGAGAGGAAACTATTGTATCATCTGACAATCCCAGCTGTTTCCAATTAAGCGCCCTATCCCCTCGATAAAAGAACCAATAGCGTCATAAGTTTGTATAACCGTTATGCATCTTTGGTAACTGTATTTGAAAGAGATTATCCTTTGCATCGGATCACTTTTTCACTACTCTTACAATAATAACTCCCAATTTAATCTCTTACATGCATAATTATGATTTTTTTATTATTAAGATTTAAACACCATCAGTTTTAAATGTACAAAACTATTTTAATTATAAAAATAAATATCAAGATTTGAAAATTATATTGCTCGTCATGCTAAAAATTTTGATTTTTTATACTTTTGCGTCCGATCGGACATGTAAATATTTAATCAGAAAAGCTAAATTAACGCCCTCTCACTTTGCATGTTTTTTGACTATACATGATTTGTATAAAAACAACCAATGAGCTGTACACAACTGTTCCATCGTTACTCATTCGAGCCTAATACTTCTTAGCTAATTATATTTAATGCTTCTTTGTTAGAAGTTCGTTAATATAGTTATCCGCAAGCAGTGGTGGTTCTGAGAATAGAGAGCTCACCTGAGGTGATCCCGGGTTCGAATCCCAGAGATGGTTGGTGGATACGAATTCGCACCAGGCTCGCACAAACCACATTACTGATATAAAATATCCTCAATGGCAGACGGATCGTAGGTAAGACTCTCCTCGCCGTCAGACTAAACGTGGGAGGTTTTCGTAGTTTTACTCTCCATGTAACGCAAATGTGGGTTAGTTCTATCAAAAAGTCCTCCACGAAGGCAATTGACTCCAAATACTTGATCCAGATGCCCTCTTGTCTTCTGGATTGGGTTCAAAATTACAAGATTACGGAGTTGAACATTAGTAGTCGTAAACTCAAAATTTAGGTCGGCTGTTCAACGATGTTTATAAAATGAAGTATAAAATATAGTTACCCACACCAAGGTGGCTCAGATAGGGATAGAGTGTTCGCCTACCAATAAGGTTCTCTGGTTCGAATCGCAACAGTAGCTGGTTAATACGAATTCTTCTTGCGCGTTGCACACATACAGTGCAGGCGTAAAATATCTTCAGTGGTAGATGAATCATGGATTAGAATCCTTTCACCATCGGGCTAATCGTGGGAGGTTTTCGTGGTTTTTCTTAGCATCTAACGCAAGTGCAGATTGGTTCCATCAAAAAGCTCTCCACGAAGGCTAGTTGGTCCCATTGCTCGTTCTAGGAATTTCCTTATACTCTGGCTTTTGTTCAAAATTACAAGGTTACGGAGTTGAATATTGATAGTCGTAAATTCAGAATTTTGTCAGCAGTTCAACGCCGGTAATAATATAAAATAAAATACAGTTATAATTATATGAATGAACTATAGTTTGTACTTCTTAATTATTTTTAGCATAATTCTTCTG